CAGGAACGTGTGGAGGGCGATCCAAGCCCGGGGCAGGCGAACGTCCTTCGGGATCTCACTCTGGGTCTTGGGCAAGGATCCCAGCCGGCTGTAAAACCAAGGACGGGTCTCTGGATGAGTAACAGCCCCGTTTTTCCTTTTAGGGTTCCCCGGGGCCACTGCCTGGCTCCTCACTTGCCCTCCAAGACCGGGGACTCCTTCCTCCGCAGCCACCACGTCACGGTGAGTGTGGCTCTGCGCCTCCTCCTCTTCCCGGTGACTTTCTGCCTTCCTTAGCTAAGCATCGTCCACCTCCATTTCCCAGAGCTGGAGAACCGAGCCCGGCCCTGTTTGTTGCCCAGAGATTCCCAGGATTGTCACAGCTCCCCCTCCATCTTGGAGGTGGACGTAGGGGAGGTGGATTGCAACTCCCATCAGCCACCTGGTAGCCAGGCGCTTCTGGGACACTCCAGGTTAGGGGGAAGTCTAGTTCCCCCATTTTTTTATGCAGAGTCCCAGAGTTGCTGGGTCGGGTGGAATCACCACCGCCGCCACCACCACAGGGCTGTGATGCCAAGACTGACGTCCTGGAAGAAAAGCCCTGCCGAAATGTGGCACCTGCTGGGGGGCGCCGTGGGGAAAGAGTGGCGTAGCGCAGCTGTGGCTGGAGGGGATCAGGGGTCCCGTGGCAGATGTAGACACCTGGCTTGTATGTGGGGGGAGAGGGCTGAGGGCCTGTCCTGCTGCTCGGCTCACGGAGGGGCCAGCACCCGAGAGAAAACCGGGCAAACAGAGGTTTCCATCCTGCCCCCTGCCTCTGTGGGGTGGGAAGGCTTGGGCTGGGATCAGGAGGAAAGTGAGCCTCACTTAGGGGGCTATGAAGAAGGGGTGCAATTCCAAATGCTGGGGCTCCTGGGATTTGGGGCAAGGGTGAGGTGGGGCGGGGTGAGTCAGAGGGGCCGTGTCACTCGTCCCTGGGGCCCATTCTACTGCTGCCGCCCTGCTCCTGCTCCTCCTCCTCCTCCTCCTCCTCCTCCCCCCCCATCTGCCCCCTCTTCCCCACCTTGCCTTCACTTTGCAAGCAGCTTATATAATGGCTGCTGTTAACTTGTCCTGGTTTGAACTCTCCCGTCTCTTGAATTGGCAAAGCAGAACAGGAGGGGGAGGGGGGAGATTGCGTGTGGCAGCGCTGTGGATCAGGATCAGGCCGTCAGAGAGGCGAGGAGGAGAATCCGCTTGGAAGCAGTGGATGTGGGTATGTGGGTCAGATTTTAGGGCTCTGCTGGAGAAACGTTTGCACCTTGATCGGTCCGGCGAGGAGTTGCAAAAGGCACGTCCTTTGGGGGGGATCTCTCCCCCCCCTTAAATCTGCCTTGACCTCTGCCTCTTATCTCTGGAGGGTCACCCTCAGAGTCTGCCTTCCATAAGAAGCCAGGAGGCACAGAATCTCCGACTTCAGACGATCCTTTTGCCACCCCCCCCCAACTGCATGTTGCCTGCAAATAAATAAATGCAGGTGGAATACTGTAAGAAGGAAAAAAGAATCCCAGGCCAGAGATTTCCCTTCTGCCCCCCCCACCGCCCCCATGCAATGGGTATTGCAAGGCGGTGGGGTTTGGGAATCTAGTCAGGGCTGTGTCAAATTGCCAGGATTTTGGGGGGGGGGGACGGGGAGGAGGTTTGCAGAAACTTGGGCTGGTGCATGCGGAAGGGGGAAGAGGAGGCAGGAAATCAGAGGGAGACAAAGCGGTGGGGGGAGAGGGGCCGGGTTTCAATTTTGCCCCTAACTCTTGGCTGCATCTGCTCCTCTCCCGGTCCGAGGTGGGGTGAAAGGTCATTGGAGATTACGTCGCCTCCACACGTGCCCTCCGGCAGTTGCTGGGTAACACGGGGTCCCCCCTCGCCTCGCCATTCAAGCCAAAGCTATAAATATTCCCTGAGTTCCTCCAGGGACTTGTCTTGCTAGCGGGATGGGGGGGAGTGGGGGGTGGAGGGAGGAGGGAGGGAGCGACGGTGGGTTGCAGATTTCCATTCGGCTTTACCCGGGGAGGCAAGCTGGATCCCCACCCTGGAAGTCTCCCTGCCAAGACATTCAGCTCATCCCCAGTCCTCTCTCCCTGCTCTCCAGCTGTTGGGGAAGCCCCCATCTTCCCCACCCACCGTGCTCCAGGATTGGTGCTGTGGGGGGGGGAGGAGCAGGCTTCCAAAGCCAGACTCAAGTGCACACACTGCGTGCACACACATGCACACACGCACACACCCCCTCCTCTTTCCTGCAACTGTTGATAAGGATACTCAAGTGGAAGGTGTACTCCGCTTGCCTTATCGCCCCTCTGACTCCCCTAGGCAAGGCCCCCCCCCCCCCCCCGTTCCAGCCAGGGCAGGCTGTGAAAAAGTTGTGAGTGGCACACTGACTGCTGCCCAGCCAGGTGGCCTGAAAAGATGGTTTGCTTCTCCTGGTTTCCCCAGGAGCACGTCCCAGACACGGAGAAACTGTGTCTCCCACAAGCAGCCCTCTGACTATGGAGGCTGGGAGGGGCCCACGCTTTTCCCCTGGCAATGGGCCTCGCTGCCTGACTGGTGGGGTGGGGGGAGCTTGAATTCAGAGCACCTCCTGGACTCTGCATTTCTCCCATTTGCAGGCGTTCCTTTGGCCTCTGCCTTCCTGGCTGATTTTGAGGGGAGGGCCATCTGCCTCCCATCTGTGGTTGGGAGTCGGGAAGGTATTGAGTGGGTCCGAGCAATTATTTTGGATTCTCTCGTTTCCCGTCCTCCCCGCAGAGGAATTCCTCCTTTCAGGGCAGGCCTGCGCTCTCTCGATATGGAAGAGGAACGGAGAACCCAGGTTTTGGTTTGGGGGGGCGTGGGGCTGGAAGCCACATTGGTAAGACGACAGGGCTGCTCTCGCTGCTAGGGAAATGCAGCTTTTCGGGATGGGGAGGGCTGAGCCCATCCAAGGGAGGGCCCTCGCATTTGACCACTTTGGGGAGAATGGCATGGCGGCATGGAAGCAGGTGTGGAACAGTTTCACCCCTCTCGAGCCCCCAAAGGGGGGGACATCTTCAGGGGAACCGAATGCTGGGACTGGTAGAAAGAACAACTTGGAGCTGTTGGGAGGGAATGGCGTTCTGCGCTTGCCCAGAGGCACTGCTAGAGACAGTTGGGGGGTGTTGGGGCTCTCTGTCCCTTGGTAAAGTTTTCTGGAAGAGGGATTGCAACAACTAGCACTCCCAGCCAAAGCCTCAATGATGCCAAGTTGATGCCACCTGTGTGGCAACATTGAGGTGATTGTGTCATCATCCTAAGCGTGTTTTCCCTGCGCCATCGTGGGCACCCCTGGCTATGTTGCCAGTCCCAGAATTACTGGCCAGCATGGCTGGTGACTGACAGCAGCACTCCTAATCGGGTGCTCACAGCACGTAGTAAAAAAAGTTGAGATGGCAACGGTGCCATTGAAGCTCTGCCCGTTCCTAAGTGCATGGCACCATTCCGGCCACCATGCCCAGAGGGATCACAGGTCCCAATGTGAGAACGGTGGCTTCTGCTCCATTTCTGAACCCTGGGTTTCCATATTTTTCAACCAAGACGCATTGGGAAAAATATGGGGTCTTTCTGTCCAGAGGGTATCTCCCATCTCCACCTGTTGCCGTTGGTGAATGGGGACATTCCGCTGCCCCACTTGGGGAGGGTTTAGAGCAGGCCACCCGAAGGGCAAAGACGGACCTTTGAACCCGTCCAGGCTGTTTTGGAGAGGTTCTGTTTAAAACAATACTCAAATGAAAGGAAGGGGTGACCACCGTGGGGGACCTCTTGGCCATTTCAGAAAGGTGTTGGGGATCCTCAGGGGAGTCATCCCAGGACAGCGAGTTCAAGAACCTCTAGGACAAGCCAGCCCTAGGGAGGAGCAGGTGGAGGGCCAAGGGAGGTTGGACCTGGCTTGTTTGGCAGCCCTGTCTGCCACCCTGGGCACCGCTCTCCCTCTTCTGGGAACAGCTGTACCGGCTCACCCGGGCAGGGATCCACCATTCCTGTGCCTGTGGGTAGAGCGGCGGGGAGGGCTGCAGCATCCTCCGAGGTCACCCCTTGTCTGGTCCACAGCAGATAAAACTGCCTCCCCTCCTTCCCCTCTTCCTCCCGGGCACTGGGATACCCGCCTGCCCACCTGCCCTGCCATCTACCCCCCCCACACTTTGGTTTTTTCAGGAAATTCTCTTGTTCCAAAGAGCAGGACCTCTCTGCAACCCCCCCGCCCCCGTCTTCTTCCTCCTCCTCATCCCCCAGCGAGCCCAGCGTGGTGGCTTTCCAGCCTCCTGGTCTGTCCGTCCTGCCTGCCTGCCTGCCTGCTTTCCTTCCTTCCTGCCTTCCTGCCTGCCTTCCTTCCTTCCGTCCTGCCTTCTCCGCCTGTGGGTGAGCCGTCCCTGCTTCTCCGCCAGTGGGCTCTCCAGCACATGTGAGCGAGCTGGGAACATGGAAGTGAGGCCGCCTTTTGCCGGAAAGGGAGGGGGAGGAGGAGGATAT